GGGCGGGGGCGGGGGGGGGGGGGGGGGGGGGGGGGGCCTTGTAGTTGAGTTCACACAGCAAGCCTAAAGCCAAGGGCTCTTCTTCTGGATAAAGATTTAGCTTGCTGTTTGCCATGGAGTGAGGCCTGGCGCCCTGTGTGTGGGTTGAGCTAACTTGGGTTGTAACTGCATCCACTTTTCTGAGCCCTGTGCGCTGGGTCTCCTTTCCAAAGCAACACATTTTCAGACTCAAATTTTGAAGTCAAGACCTTTAAAACATATATGCTGGTTTAGCTTAGCAGCCCATACAATGAAGTATCTCTCTGTACTTAGCTCCTTCACAGTAAAAAAAAAAAAAAAAAAAAAAAAAAAAAAAAAAAAAATTAAAAGAAAACACAATAATATACATAATTGAGACTATCTGTGTATTTTTCATATTTATGTGGCTTATTTTTATTTCTTTATTCTATGACTGTCTGTGCTCTGGCTCTTTAAAGACTTTGTTTTATTTATTTTTTAAAATTTACTTCTTTTTATAACTCTCTATACTCTTTTTCTTCTCTCCCAAGCCTATGTACATTATCCAACACTGTGACCCATTTAGAGGTCTTTTTTTTCGTATCTGTAATCCTTTTCTGACCAGGACTGCTGTTTTTTTAAAAATGCTAATTGGGCAAGGCTAGGGCCGACAGGGCCCTGCCTGATTGCTCCGCCCAGTCCAGCATGGTGAAAGGATGGTTCACTGCCTCTGCAGCCTGTGCACAGCGCCCCAGTTCCAAGTATGCAGTGGGTCTATGTCGAGCCATTAATCGGTTTGTGACATGCTGCTCACAGACCCCATTTAAATGCTCCATAGCCAGATCTCCTGAAAGAGTCAGAGACATCTGTGCTGCTGGACCAGGAAACTGCCGTTTTGAAACCACGCAGGTTTTTTTTGTTTTGTTGGGGTTTTTTTCCTGCTACTGCTGAATCAGGAAGACCTCTCTAAAAGGAGCTGCAGCGTGCTGCCAGCAAAGAGTCCCATAAAAAAAAAAAAAAAAAAAAAAAAAAGAACTTTGTTTTATAGCATCTAGAATTCCTTTCCCAGCCCTGTTTTCTGTGGATTTAGGTAGCACACGTTAGAGCACCAATTTGTTACTGTTGTTTCAGTCAGGGTCTCTATAGCTGCAGTGAACACCACAACCAAAAGCAACTTGGGAAGAAAGAGGCTATTTCAGCTTACAGCTGAGGTCATGGCCCCACCACTCAGGGAAGTCAGGGGAGAAATCTGGATTTATTTTATGTATGGATGTCCTACCTACATGTATGTAAGTGCACTGCATGTATGCAGTGTCCACAGAGGCCAGAAGAGGCCTCGTTCCCTGGAACTAGAGTTGAGGATGTCTGTGAACGGCCATATCAGCTGGGAACCAAATCCAAGACAGCGGTGCCTTTACCCATAGGCCACCTCTCTAGTCCTCCTGCAGGATTTTAAAGGATTTGGGGATTAACTTAAGGTGTGGTTCATTCTGTACTGATTACCGTGCACAGGGAAGGAGGGACCTGGTTTCATTCTCCACACATGGGCACCAGTGTTCCGGGCAGCCCTTGCTGTAGCTGTGCTTTCTCTAACATACGGTTTTGGCATTCTTGTTTAAACAAGATCAGGACACTGTATCTGTTTGGTTTATTTCCTGATCACCTGTCCACCCCATTGGGATCTGTGTCTGCTTCCGTGTTGGTACCATGCTGTTTCGGTCACGATGACTCTGGCAGAATTTGAGACGAGGCGCTGCTCCAGCATTACTCTCTGCACTCGGGGACTGGCTGGCTGTCCAGTGTCTATTGTGCTTCTCGGTGAGCTTCAGGGTGGATTTTCTAATTCTCTGAACGATACCTTAGAATTTTGAAGGTTTGCATAGAACCTGTGGGTCACTCTCAGTGATAAGACCATTTTTCATAATATTAATTCTGCCAGTCCAGGAGCACAGGGTGTCTTTTTGTGTTCTCATGTCCTCTTGAATTTATTTCTCTAGTACAAAGTTCTCTTTGTAGAAGTCTTTTGACGTCCTTGGTTAGGTTATTCATAGTTGTTGAGTGGATGGCTTCTCTGCTTCCTGTCTCAGCATGCCCATGTGCTGGCTTTGTCCTCTACTTCCTTGCAGTGCTGACCTGATTTTGGAGTGTTCCGGCAGAATCTGGGGCATTTAAAACACAGTAACGTGCCCATTGCAAACAGGGATGGACGGACTCTTCCTTTCCTCTTTCTTCCTCCTGTCCTGGTGCTGTGGCCAAGCTTGACCTCTGTACTGAAAGTTCCTCAGTCCTGGATTTGAAGAAAATGGTTTAATGCTCCAGCATCTAGTGTAAGGTGACGTTTGCAGTCATCGCCTTTGTCTTTTAACCCAGGAATACGACATTAACAAACATCCTAGTCTTGAGCTGTCCCTGAAACCCCAACAAACCCTTTGTTCATGTGTGGTGACATTTAATGCACTGAACCACCAACGTGACATTTTGTTCAGCCCCTTTGTGCATCTTGTATAGACCATTGTATTGGGTGGTTTTGTGTGTCAATGTGACAAAAGCTAAAGGCATCAGAAGGAGCCTCAGAGGCAATGCCTCCTTGAGATCCAGCTGTAAGGCATTTCTCCTTTAGTGGTCAACGGGAGGGGGCAAGGCCATGGTGGGTGGTGCCATCCCTGGGCTGGTGTCCTGGGCTGTATAAGAAGGTGGGTTGAACAAGCCATGGGGAGCAAGCCAGTAATCGGCTCCCCTCCAGGGCCTCTGCATCAGTTCCTGCTTTCTGGGATCCTACCCTGAGTTCCTGTCCTGACTTCCTCAGTGATGAACAGCAATGCTGAAGTCTAAGTTCCTCCCCAGCTTGCTTTGGTCATGGCTTTTCCTCGCAGCAACGGAAACCCTAAGACAACCACCCTTAACTTGGGGCTCTCCTAACCACAGATAACCTGTTCCTAACAAGCCTGTCTTGACATTGGGTCCTGCTTGGCTCACCAAGTCAATCAGAGGTCCCATCATGTTGTAGGACTTGTTACGGTTTGAACAGCAAGGAACTATTTGGTCCTTCAAGGTTGGAGAGACACTAAATTCCCTGAGCTGCTTCCTGCTGCTTCCTTTGACTCTTCAAAGGGCTTTACTCAGGCTGTCTGCCTTTCCTAGACTCCTCCGCATTCACTGAAGCTCATAAACTGATTAATGGAGAAGGTACGTTATAATTTTAAACATGGGTTGTACTTGTGAATACATGTACACGTGTGAGGTCGCACCTGAGCCATGGTGTAGGTGCGCAGGTCAGAGGACATTCTGCACAGTTGGTTGTCTCCTACCGTGTGGGGAGGCAGCATCAGTAATCAGCCTGCCAGCAGGTTCCTCTCGCTGAGCCATCTTATCTGCTGCCCACGGCAACATCTTTATTAGGATCTTCTTCTCAGGTTGTCCCTGAGAACTATGTGTTTGCCCTCTTACTACGCGTTTCCTTAAAGATATGCACACAGGGTTTCCCTGTAGAGTCCTGGCTGTCCAGGAACTAGCCCTGGTGACCTTAACCTTACAGCCAGTGCCTGCTGGGGTTAAAGGTGTGGCCACCATGCCCGGCAGAGGCAGGCTCTTTAAAGAAGAGCAAAATAACTTAAGTGTTTTAGGTTCCCTTCCCTTCATCTCGATCCCCTTCCCCTTTCCCACTCCTGGTCTACTTGGAGAATCTAGCAACCTTGAGCCCTGGGCACCCTTACCTCCAGCCAGTATGCTGCTGTCTGAGTCAGCCAGACGTGTCAGGTTTGGTTACTAATATAATGGAGACTCAGATCCCAAAGTGGAAGGAAGTGGCCGGCCTGAGGCCTATAGCTGAACTGCTCATGACTGAATGCAATCCCAAGAAGGAGCAGGGCAGCTGGTAACACATCAGGAATAATTACTGCGGAGCATGCTCAGCCTATTTCTAAAAGCTTACTAAATAATTACCTAACAATATGCACTCCACAATGCTTTAAAAATCGCTTAGCATCTTTATTTGTTAAGAAATTATGTCATTAAAGATGACTCCTTGCAAACTAATCAGAAGGCACGGCCTCCATTTCTGGTTGCTTGATTGTTTATATATATCCAGGATGGGTAAGTATTATGATGTAAACATAAAAAAATGATAAATCAAAAATACATTGTCTGGGAACCCACTGTCAGGTGACTGGGCTAAGTGTCCTCAGTTCCCCATCAGTTGTCACAGCACAGTGGCCGTGCAGGAGGCTGTCACTCAGGCCTGCCCCCCCCCCCCCGGAACTGTGAGGGCAGGGCAGCCCGTGTGCAGAGGGGAAGAGAAGTACGACAACACACGCTCCATACAGGAGCAGTCAGTGTGAGGCTGCGGGGAAACGGACTTCGTCAGGGGTCAGGCTTCCTCAGCATGGTCTCCTGTCGCTCAGAAATTACCTAGTAATGAGCAGCCAGTGTGTGTTCTTCCCCTGATGCGGATCCTGGGATACAGCAGCAGTAGCTGTGCGCAACAGTCGGACAGACCACAAAACTCCAGCACCAGCCCCTCTTCACAGATTCCCTTGAAAACAAGGACCTATTTGCTGTTTTTCTTACTTCCCTAAAACCCTGAAGTTCTAACCCAATGCTATCGAGAACTCGAGGTTTTGAAACAGCTCCATATTTCCAGGTGAAGTCACTGCCAGCCCTGGAGGGCGTCACAAACGCACTCAGTCTTTGAGCCTGCTGGATGCCAAGCATTTGCTGACAGCAGTCTGGACAAGTGGTCTGCATGGGCTCGGGGGCCAGCAAATCTCAGGCTGCAGACACAGCTGCTTTACTGCACCCAAAAAGAAACAGGTGCATCTGAAGCCGCTGGAAATGCTTGCTGTGATCTTGCAGCACACACGAGGACATCCTGCTGCATTCCAGAGGAAAGGGCTGGGCAAGGCACCTGAAGGAAACAGCTTTGAGGCAATGAGGAAAAATCATGAAAATATAAGCCGCCAGGGGTCTGAGTAGATGACCCGTGTGACATCCACATGTGGGCAGGGGACTGGAGAGATGCCCACGTGTGAGCAGATGACCCATGTGACAGCCACGTGTGAGCGGATGACAAACAGATGTCCACGTGTGAGCGGATGACAAACAGATGTCCACGTGTGAGCGGATGACAAACAGATGTCCACGTGTGAGCGGATGACTGAGTCGACATCCATACGGCCACCTGGCTGTCCCCTCCTGAGCTGGACTATATCCGGCAGAGCTTCAGCGGGAAGTTCTCTGTGATGAGGTGCTCAGCATGAAGAAGGACCACCACGTTAACCTCAAACTCTGCAGGGAAGAGAGAGAGGCTCACTCACACTGAACACGGAAAACGGACTCTAAGAGGGAGGCAATGTGCGGGTTCTGCTTCCACCCCTTCAGAGTGTCCCTGAACTCTCAGGAGGACAGTGAGACCCCTACTGATTGTGACTGCCACCCTAACTTCTCCACTTAACTCTGTCTTGTCAGCACGTGGTGTAAGCCCACACCTATAATTCCAGCACTTGAGAAGCTGAGCCGGGAGGAAGGCAGTGAGTGTGAGACCAGCCTGAGCTACAGAGTCGGCTCCAGTATGGCCTATGCTGCACACAAGACCTGGTGCTTCTCTTGTTGACTAACAAAGGAAAACAGCATACGTTGGTTCAACTGCTGTTCCTTTGATATCAGCTACAGAGACATTTGCTGTAACACTTGGTCTACACTCCTGCAGACAAGATTTCCTTCACTGGGGTTTCTAGTCTTCATGGGTAAAGATCCCAACACGGGATCAATGTCAAGAGGATACATCCCAGACAAAAGTGCCCCTGTCCTTATCACTGGTATGGGCAAAGAGATCCTGGGCCACACTCAGAAACTGAGCTCTGGGCACAATTTTGGGGTACACATACTCATACAGAGACCCATATACATACGCATACTTAAAAATAATAAACCTCATTTAAAAAAGCAGGGTCAGTCACCAATGAGAACAGAGGCCACTCCACCTGTGGAAGACGACGGCCAGAGCTGAAAACAACGTGGCAGCAGCAGCCACACTGGCTTTATGGGTACGCAAAATGCTACGGTTATAGTGTTATGGAAACTTGTACAAATGTTTCAGAAAGCCACTGAGGAAGCCAGGCAGGGCACGGCAGGGTCGGGTTCCCTGCAGAAAGGCCCTGAAAGAGGCCACCGTGTGTGGCTCTAAAGATATACCCAGAGCTGCAGTGGGAAGCCCCAGAATGCTGGAGAGGCGGGGACTGAGGAACCTGCCAAGGAAAGCTGCAGGCAGGAATAGTTGGCCAAAGATAGCAATTACATCTCTGCGTGCACTAGAACTGGATGGGTGGGGCTACCTGAAGCTCCTGGAGCCCAGGTGCTGCTGCCAAGAGCTAGACATGTTCACAAAAGGTTGAACCCACTAGGTTTTAGTATTGCTTTGCTTCAAGTTTTTTGTTTTGTTGTGTTTTTCTGCTTTGGCCCTGTTGTTGCTCCCTTTCTGGATGGGAATATTTGTTCTATGCCTATGTTGAGAGTATGCGATTTATCTTTTGATCTGACAAGGATTCATTCACAGTTGAGTCTCAGAAGAAACTCTGGTCTTTAGACCATGTTAAACTTAGGACATGGGACTTTTAAGTCGAAGGAATTCTCAGATGATGTGTCTTGGTGTCGTACTGTCAAAGAGCAGACTTGTGTTAATCTTTACTGTCGCCGTGACTAGATCTGGAGTCGTGTGAGGGTCACACTCTTGGTGTATCATCAAGGGAATGTCTAGAGATGTTCAGCTGATGAGGGAAGCCCTGCCTTGAATATGGGTGGCACCAACCATGGGATGGGGCCTTGGCCTGAATAAAAGGAAAACAATCAAGAAAGCAAACCTGATACCAGCATTCATCTGTCACCTCTGTCGTGTGCTCCACCTGATGAGAGCAGGCAGCCTCCCGGAGTGGCTTTTCTACCACAAAGGACTAAACTCCCAAACTGTGACCCACACCAGCGCACCTTCCTTCACTGTCTCTTGTAGTCGGGCACACACGGCTGTCTGACAACTGTAAAGGCTTCTTCTATAGACGTATGTGCTCTCTGCTTGGCTCAAGTCTGGCTTTGAAAGGGGGCTTTCAGTAGGCTGTAGTGTCCCACATACGCAGCTTCTTACAGAGGGGAGTAACCAAAGGCTGAATGCTGTGGGCCCTGCAGGCCGGGCATGGACTGCTTACCCACTTTGAAGTTAGTGGTCTCCAGTGTCGGGCATGTGAACAGTCTGGGGAAGACCATGTACAGAGGGACAGAAAGGCTCCTACAAATGTCCCCATCGGCGATCTGAATATTCTGAATCTCTGTGGCATCACGTGCATAGCCTTCTGCACACCCTGGGGAAGAGGAGAACTCCACAGGGTCAGGATACCAGGACACCAGAGCGAACTGGTCAGCAAACCTTTCAGTGCCAGCAGCATCAGAACATTACCCACGGCTCCAGTGTGTTCTCCAGGGCTAGGCCTTCCCTCCCTGCCACTGCTCACTCCCTCAGACATCACCACGACTGGCTCCGGTCTGGGACCCTAATGCCCCAATTAGATCCCAATGATTGTCTGCAAGTGGGGTCTTTGGGAGAGCAGGCCGAGGGTCATGCGGGTCGCTTTGTTTGTCCACAGGGCAGGACAGCTTGGTGGTTGAGAGCGCTGCCTGCTCTGGTAGAGGACCCAGGTCCTTTTCCCACACCCGCATCACAGTTCCAACCATAGCGTCACACGTACCCACACACATCTGTCACAGACACACAAGAGCAGAGGACAGGCATGCGTTCCACATCTGATGGCTTTCTACTACACTACAACATGGCAGAGGCCACCACATGGTGGGAGAGCTCCATATTATGACCCTGCTCTCCGGAGACAACCCATAACCCGTCATGAGGACAGTCACCCCCCGAAGCTCTCAACACTGCTGTGCTAGGGACCAAGTTTCTAATACACAGCTTTTGGGAAGCACATTCAGAGCAAAAGAGGTGTCTCTGTGGCCCAAAGCCATTCCAAGACATTTCTGAAGCACAGGCACATGGCCATCAGTTTAGCAACACGAGGCTGCCATACTCATGGTGTGCTGCTGCGTCCCTTAGGTTACCGGTTTCCCCAGGAATCAAGGGAGGCATTTCTCAAGCTGGGTTCCCCGGCTCCCAGGAACCACTCCACACCTGAACTGGAATCCCTGAGAACAGAACTTAGGCAGGTCCACATCAGCGAGCTCCAGAATGAACACAGCTGAGCTTGAGAGTACCTGTCTCCAAGAGCAGAGACTTCTGAGGTGAGCCTCGTGTTCTAACTACCCAGCCCTCCACCCTCTCCAGTCCTGCCCGAGGGTGACAGGCCAGGCTCAAACACTGAAGTCTAGAAGCCTTACCACAGGTCTCCACCCGGACCAGCTGGAGCTCAATGCTGCGGATAGCAGCGTCCGAATGCTCCACCACCAGCTCTCCTGTCAGGGGCTGTGTGATGGCGCAGCTGGTGGAGTCCAGGTGGCCTCTGATGAGGAATTTGGGGAGTGAGGCCCTCTACGATAAAAAGAGACAAGAAGACATCAGGAACTGGAGGAAAAGAGCTGTTAGTGATTCTGGTTGCTTTGGCACGAATAAAATCTGAAGATTAAGTTGGGTAATTGTTCTAGAAACTGTGGAAACCTGGTGTACAAAACAAGGAATAACAAACAGTGTTACCATCTCTCAGCGGACATCAGACTGACTCCTCAACCATCTATGCACATAAAGGACAGACAGACAGGACTAGCTCTGGAGAACCCACCCCTGCCTCCTTCACAGGCGACAGGACAGGAGGACAGACAGACAGGACTAGCTCTGGAGAACCCACCCCCTGCCTCCTTCGCAGGCGACAGGACAGGACAAGGGTGTTTAAGGACAACCACCACCAGGGTGAAAAATAAATAAAAAGAAAAAAGGAAAAGATTTAAGAAGAAAACAAGGTAGTCAGTTTTACAGTGTTCCCAATTAGGCGAGTCTGAAGCCAGTTATTTCAAGGATGCTGAAAGAGCGGTTTTCCCAGCGCTTGATGAAAAGCTTTGGGACCTTTCTCTGTAGACAGGAAGCTGGCCAAGGGGCCTGGCAGTGGCACTGAGGAAAGTGTTGGACAGTCACTGTAGGCGTCTTTGCCTGTCACGTCCCACTCTCCAGCAGACTCAACAGAAGCCACACATTTAAAATCATTTACAATTTGTAATTGCTTATGAATATAATTTAAATTTTTCTGGTAGCCACATGAAAAAATTTAAACAGTATATCCAAAATGTTATTACGTCTGCATCTACTCATGAGAATTACAAATAATACAGCTCCGTGAGAAGACTGCTTGCCTGGCAGTGCACGGAGCTCTGGCTCCAATCCTTAGCACCACAAGCCAGGAGCGGCAGCACGCGCTGTCGTCCCAGCACTCACGTGGAGGCAGGAGGCCACCAGACTGGTTAAACTCTCAAACACCAGTGATTCTTACCTGAGGAACCCTCTAGAAATGTGTGAGTGGAAGACAAATAGGGGAAAATAAGCCGTCTGTTTAGAAAAGTCGCTAACAGCGGAGGCTCACACAGCTCTAGGCAGCCTATACCAGTGCTCAAGAGTCTTCCAGACACGCGTGCTCCTCCCACAGTGATGGTGTCAGAGCGCATCCCTGCACTACTCTGAGTCTCAGCTCCGGCCTGCCCACATTTTCTGTACACTTCTTCTTCGTCGTCCCCCAAATTCCTTGTTTTTACTTAGAGAAGAAAACCCGCTAGTGATACGTGTTCTACAAGGTATTTAAATAAAGCATGTGCTTGGCGGGGATGGCGCACACCTTTAGTCCCAGCACTCGGGAGGCAGAGGCAGGAGGATCTCTGAGTTTATGAGGTCAGCCTGGTCTACAGAGCGAGTCCAGGACAGGCTCCAAGCTACAGAGAAACCCTGTCTCAAAAAACCAAAATAAACAAATAGGAACAAAGCACCTTTCTCGTTTCCAATAGTAAGCATGAACGTTTCTGTCATGACAAACAGTGCTCACCTACAACAGACAGAAGAAAGGCCACCTGCCACTCCCTCAACACGCCTGACAGAATCCAGTGCACACTGACGCTCAGGAGAATAGTCTCACCAGGGCCGGGGCAGACAAACTTACTAACAAATCTACACCAAAGACCCTCGAGTTAATGAAGAGCATAAAGGCAAGGGAAGAGGGCTCTGCTCCACGTGTGGAGCCTGGGAAAGAAGAGCATGGGGGGAGGGGCAGGACGCTGTGTCTGCAGCAGAAGGGGACAGGGAGGGTGGAAGAAAAGACTTCACACGGGGTAGAGCAGGTAGGGCACGGGAATCTGCCTGGCCCAGGTCATGATGGCTACTTCCTTCCAGAACCTTCTTCAAGGGCTCCCTATGACACACCTTGCAAAGAATGACATCAGCCATGACTCCAGTGTCCCAAATCTCCCAGACATGCTTTCAGCCCAGTTATGACAATGCACAAAATGCAGACTTGAGTAAAGAGCTGCAGAGGACACCACCACAGCTGCAGGGGACACCACCACAGCTGCAGGGGACACCACTAGCTGTGAGATAGAGCCATTTATTAAAAGTCAAAAAGCGGGAAATTTTCTGGTGGTGGAGCAAAGTGCTAACCCAAGAAGGCTGGCCACAGTAACCACCGCCTGGTGCAGATGACCCAGCAGGTTTGCTGGGAGCTGCTACCAAGATCCACGCATCCTTGGTTCTCATGCTGGTCCTGTGTCCTTGCTGTCCACTCCTACCAACAGTTCTGTCTGACTGAACGCCACTGAGAGACTGCAAAGCCTCCGGAGGGGATGAGAGGCCAGGGACCCCTGCAGGCTCCGCACACCAGGGGAAACAGGGAAGGAGCATGGCACTCAGGGTGCACAGGCAGAAGACCATCCAGGTGCACGCCTGCAATCCAGGATGACGGCTGGGGAAGGCCAGCCTGTGCAAGACAGTGAGACATCATCCTTCCATGAACACGACATCAGAAGATGTGAGGAGTCTAGAAAAGGGCTGTCTTTTTTTTTTTCTGAGTAATTACTGAGTTCAATATGAAACCAGTATGAGAACACCCCTTGGGTACAAACAGCATCAGAAGCCTGTCACCGAGACCTCCATTCTCAACTAAAGAATAACTGAGCAGCCATGACACACAAGTAGGAGTAAGGAAGGAATACCTCTTTGACGTTCTGCAGGGTTTCTGGGGTGATGGTGAAGTCAACGGGACTTGGGGTCAGCTTCCCCTTCTGAGGCTGAAATGGAGGTAAAACCACAGTCAGAGGGCGAGGACCCATGGGTGGAGAGAGCAGCTCTTCCTTCTGACTCAAGTGAACGGCAGCACAGGAGACTAACTGCAGGGCCGCCTCCAGACACACCCAGGTCACCCACCCAGTACTGCTCATCCGCACCAGGGCCAGGGGTCTGCTGGAGGTCAGACCCCGGGGACAGAATGGTAAAGCTGGCAGACAGGAAAGCAGGGCACACAGAGCTCAAGGACTTGCTCGTTATGTGCAGAGTTGAACCAGACTGCCCTGTGCTGCCTACCTAGGAACGTTCCAGAATCCATTTACAGGGTCAGGCTACACGGAAGCCTGCCTGGCACCATACCCACAGGCCAGTGGACCCAAGAACCAGCTGGAGAGAGGGTGCCACTCACTTCCCAGGCCTGCTCCTGAGTGCGCCAGCTCAGCACGTCCACAGCATGCTCTCTAGTCGCAGTGCTCTTCTTGCCGCACTTGTGAACCACATGCTAGGGTAAACTCCCACTATCTATCCATCTATCGACTGACCTACACACCTACCTACCTATTTTTGAAGCAGTCTCTCTACATAGCCCTGTCTTGGAACTCACTTTGGAGACCAGGCTGCCCTTGAGTGCTGGGATTAAAGGTGCATGCCACCACACCCAGCCTTTTAAAGGTTTTCTGAGACAGGATCTCATCGTCTGTAGACAGCAAAGGGTGGCTTTGAGCATACCATGCAGCCCAGGCTAACCCTGAATTCCTGGTGACCATCCTGCCTTCTAGACATGGAATTACAAATGTGAGCTACCATGCTTGACTAACACCTAACTCTTGAAGGCCCTGTGCTGACAGAATCCCATGAGCAGAGATGGGTCCTGCAGAACGCAGTCACTGCTCTAGGCCTGAGCATCTTAGGAGGCTCTGCAATCACAGGCTTCAGAGAGGCCTGGGCTCGGGGTAGAGATGGGACTCACTGTTCTTCACAAAATGTGAAACTTTCTTTGTCGCTGCAAGTTTGTTTTAGGACATAATGTCCAAAACACTTTCAAGTAGATTATTTAAAGGACCATGACAGAAAAGAAGAACAGAGCCATCTTTTAAAACATGTAATTTTCAAAAGAAAAACAATTTAATTATATTTTACATAAATCAGGAGCTGTACGTAGTAACGGCAACACTGGGAGTCCTGAAAATGTTACCCAAATAAAGAATGCAAATGAGGACCTTGGTGCCGACTCCGCTAACATCATGCACCGGCGACTCCAATCCCGCTTTGGGACTCACTTCCTGAACATCCCAAGGACGTCCCGTCATAGTGCGACACAAAGTGCAAATGCTCCTGACTGTCAACCCTCACCAGATGCCCCGCCAAAGTCTCTGTTCCTTGGGGTGCAGCGCCATGGCAGGGTCCCTGGGGCTTACCCAGCACTAACATGGGGACGGTATACTGAGTAGCCTGCTCTACACGCTCATGAGCTGCCGTGGGCACTACACCCCTGCCTGCCCCACCCAGCTCCCCTAGAGGTGTGCAGCAGGCCCTCCCAGCACCCCCAAGGCTTCAGAGCAAGTTCCTGTGGTAGCTCTGGCCGATACTGGTCGGCAACCCAGCTGTGCTATCCCAGGCAGCTCTCTAGTCCGGGCTTTCTCCCAGATCCCTCGCAAGCATTGTCACTGACCTCCAGTCTGATGGAGGGGCAGCAGGATGGTGAGGAGACAAACTGGCCGCTGGCCAAGGCTGAGAGTGCTGCTCCCAGGGGACACAGGCCAGCATGTGGCTGCCTCTGTGAGGCCCGAGAGACTGTGCTGGGGATACACCCATCGCCATGTGTCACACATGTACTGTTACTGCTGATTCCGTGTGATCATGAGGGGCAGTGGTCCTCAACCTCCTAATGCTGCACCCTTTAATACAATTCTTCATGCTCTGGTTATCCCCAACCATAAAGTTATTTTCATTGCTACTTCGTAACTAATATTGTTACTATTATGAACTGTAATATAGATATCTGTATTTTCTGACATTCTTAGGTAACCCTCTAAAGAGGTCATGACCCACAACAGACTGTGAACCACTGATGTAGGCTATGGGACATGTTATGAACTACCCCAAGTGGCTGCAGCAGTGGTGGTAAGGGACCAGCTACCCAAGATAGCATGGAAAGGCATTAAAAAAAATTGTTACTGCAGAATATAGGCCAAATGTGTGGTCATCAGAAAGAGTTGGGCCTGCACAGTCCCTGTGTTCTCATGGGGCACAGCACGACAGCAATTTGTCTCAGTGTGTCACAGCAACTGAGGGCCAAGGTGGATGTGTCTTTGCAGGACAGACAGTATGCCTACTGTGTGATGTAGAGTGACATTTCCTAAGGGGGGGCTGCAGACCCAGAAGGTGGGCATTACTGGGCTACAAAAACAGTGCCCATGCTGGGGCTTACGTCACACCAGGTGCTTGTGCCCCGGCAGACCCAGCTTACTGGCTTGTGAACTGGAGCTAGCCCAGCTCACAGGGAGCCTGGGATCCCGGGGTGAGGCTTACAGCGGAGTGAACGATGAATTCACAGGTCTTGGTCAGGTCCTTGGCCAACAGGGACCGCCGCATGTCACAGCGCAGTGTGTACTAGAGGAGAAGCAGGAGAGACAAACGCCAGATCAGTAGATACAACACACAGAGTGACAGTCAACCTCTCTTAAGGACACGGGGATAGTGGATGTGTTTCACACAGCTGATATCCACGAGAGAACTAAAGTGCAAAGTAAGGGCATGTCTAAGGAAAGCACGCGCAGCCGTTCCCCAGGCAGACAGCTCTGGGGCTGGAAGGCTCCATTGCAGCTGGCTGTCCTGCTCCCATGTGAGCCCAGACAAACCGCAGCCCGTGGACACGGAGGCTGACCTCTGATGGGGTCCAGGAGCCATCGGGCACCTCACCCACCAAGTACCCCATTGTATACTAGATGTGGGCACCAGAGCTAAGTTCAGCACGCCATCCTGAGGGGTTTCTCACTCACCACCAAGTACCCCACTGTGTACTAGATGTGGGCACCAGAGCTAAGTTCAGCACGCCATCCTGAGGGTTTCTCACTCACCACCAAGTACCCCATTGTGTACTAGATGTGGGCACCAGAGCTAAGTTCAGCACGCCATCCTGAGGGGTTTCTCACCACCAAGAAGCCATGGACGGCAGTATGAAAATAACACAAAACAAACAGAACTCCAGGAAATCCTAAGAATATGTCTATGTATTTAACCAAGAAATAAAGGTGGCATTTTTAAAAGTTAAAACCACAGAGACACAGAGAAGAGAGAGAACTGTGGTTAAGCTCCATGTCCCCAGCCCTGTCCATCACTCTCTAGATGGGCAGGAGAGAGGCACACAGAAGACACTGGCTTTGCCTTGGCTTGTCCATTTTGTGGAGGGTGTGGTGGTTTTTCTGAGCTCGTCACTGCTGGAGTTCCTGTTGTGAGGATCCTGTCCTCCTCAGGAACTGGCCTCTAAGCTTATTTGGTTGTGGCATAGGAACCGTGACCATAAATCCCTGGCCATGAGCTGAGGCAGCTCAGAAACCACCCTAGTGCTAGACAGACATTAGGAAAAAACTTCAGGGAGTCAGGGTGTGGCCAACTCACACTTGCTTAATATGTGCAGAGCTCTGTTGGATACTCTGGAAGTTCAAGGCCAGCCTGGTCTACAGAGCAAGTTCCAGGACTGGCTCTATAGCTACTGGGAAACCCTGTCTCCAAAACGCCCCCCTCCCCAAAAAAAGTACACAGCCCTAGGTTCCATTCTCAGCATCATAAATTAGACCTCAGACCCTCATAAAATTCCTGTTTAATCAACTTACCTGTTTATTGCTCTAATCACATAGGAAAAGCTTTTGAATTATGTCAAAAATAATTTTCATACCTACAATAGCTAAGACTCTTATAAGACACTCCATTCTTACGTACAACCTTTCCACATGAGATAGGTTCCTGTATATCTGAGGTACTACAAGGGAAGTAAAGCATTTTTATAAGAATCATCTCTTACATGCAAGGATCTAAAATTTTATTTATGTGTATATGCGGTATGTATATTCTCTAGTGAGAATGCAATCTGTTCTCCCCAAACCAGACAAGCTTACAGAGGACTGATGTGTGTGCGTGCAAGTGCGTGTGTGCATGCGCGCACGCACACATCACTTGTAAATCAATGAATCATGTGATCTGCTGGGGGGGCAGCAAGGTGAAACAAAAAGGGAAATTTCTATGTTATGCTCAAGAAGGGGTCAAGGCCTCCCTCATCTACTGACTCAATTAACTTACACCACTGATATACAGGCTGTTACAAGGGGGATAGAGAGATGGCTCAGTGGTTAAAAGTACTTGCTACTCCTGTAGAGGACCTGGATTTGGTCCCAGTGTCCACATAGTGGCTTAAAACCATCCCTATTTAACTCCAGTTCCAGGGGATTTGAAACCCTCTTCTGGCCTGCATGGTCACTGCATGCATATGGAGCATAAACACACATGCAGGGAAACACCCACACATGAAATAAACGTTTTAAGGGTTGTTACTAGTGCCTGCCCCAGCACTCCAGAGAGCGCAAGTGGAGCGCTATGAGCTCCAGGACAGCAGGGCATTACACAGCCAAACCCAACGAAGACTGTAAGGCAGCCATCAACTCCTGTGTTCAGCACTCCGCACAACTCACTGGGCGGCATTCTGTGTGACAGGACTGTGCCCAGTTCTTCATGTCATTCTCTCACTAACCCAGCAGCCAAGTCGGGTAGGCTGCTGGAGGAGGCTCGAGAGAGGTGGGATTTGAACTGACCCCCCTACTACAAAACCTACACCAAATCCTTGCGCAGTGTGACGGCAGGGCTGAGCTGTAAACCCTGTGTCTTCTGACTCTGTAACTGACTCCCCGAGGTCCTGCGCAGTGATCAGGAGGAGCGAGTCCCAGGAGGTCAGAGGGCAGCAAGAGGCCAGGCTTCAGCAACCTTAGCAAAGGAGATACAGGGCTGGATTTTTTTTTTTTTTAAGGTTTAAAATGCTCTGTTGTGTGTGGGTGTCTATGTGGATATATGCAAGTGATGGAAGTTGCTCGTGGGATGCATGGGACTTCCCTGGAGTTAGAGTTACAGGTGGCTGTGAACTGCCCACTCTGAGTGCTAGGAACTGAACTCTGGCCTCTGCAGGAGCAGTAAGTACTTTTACCTCTGAACCATCTCTCCAATACACAGCCCCCCCCCCAGTGTTTTTTTTTTAAATATTTATTTATTTATTTATTTCTTATGTATACAATATTCTGTCTGTGTGTATGCCTGCAGGCCAGAAGAGGGCACCAGACCTCATTACAGATGGTTGTGAGCCACCGTGTGGTTGCTGGGAATTGAGCTCAGGTCCTTTGGAAGAGCAGGCAATGCTCTTAACCTCTGAGCCATCTCTCCAGCCCCCCTACAGTGTTTTTAACTGTGAAAGGGAGACTAGAGTTTGTTTGTTTTTGAGACAGGATTACTCTGTGTAGCCCTGGCTGTGCTGAAATTCACTGGTACTGCTCTGAGCTGTAATATAAAATTCTGTCAGTATGGCCACAAGAGCAGAACTCAGTCAGAAGTAACTCGAAAGCCTTGGCAAGTCAGGAGTTTAAAGTAGGTTGTGTTTTAAACCCTTTATTTTGTCTTACGATTTTTATATTATGGTGCCACAATACAGCTCAGATTATAAATGAAGAAGTTTCTTATGCCTATAGAATTTGAGAGAGTATGAGGACTTAACAGCAAAGCTTTTGCCAGGCAGTGGTGGCGCACGCCTTTAATCCCAGCACTTGGGATGCAGAGAGGCAGGCGGATCTCAGTTTTTAAAATAGGTATATGTGTGGTATGTGTCTTTGGGCATAGGTGTCCACCAAGACCCGAGGCATGAGGATCATCCTGAATTCCAGTCCAGGCAGCTGTAAAAAGTACCCAGTCTTAACTGCTGGGACCTCTTTCCAGCACCATTTTTGTTTTTTAGATTTATTTTAAGTGTGTATATGCATTCGTGTGTGTGTATGTGTGTTATGCTTGAAGCAGGTGTATAAGAAGGGCTGAGAACACTTTCTTGACAGAAAGGTAGCTTTTGCAATACAGTACACCATTCTGTGTCATTCACCTTGACGGATTTTCAAGCAATTCGTGGAACTCACAGTAGAATAAACCCTTAGTTAACTCCCCCAAATATTTTTTTAATGTGCTAGATTTTAAGCAAATGAGTAGCATTTACTAAGTCCAAATGTGATCAACTGAAATTTGACAAATCAAACAACTTCGCAATCTTCTGCCTCTTTGTGCATCCTATGACTGCTGGGTGTTCTCACTTAGCAAGGGAGCTGCTGCAAGGCAGACTACACAAAAGTACCTTTCTTTGCCCGGAATGAAGGAAGGGGCTCTGCCTCTGGCTGAGTCATAGCTGGGCTCTGCTCCTGAGACAATAGCAACTGTGAAAGCCATCCCTCACCAACAGAGGTACACAGGAAGTCATAAATCCACTTCCCCTCATTTACAAGGTTTGCTCAATGAAGAATACAGCCTATGTTGAAGCGCAGCCTTTGGGTATTACACAAAGGGATACTCATAAGAATAAAACAGACAAGTCAGCGCTGGTGCCAGAAGGAGACTGAAGCAGATCTGCGCCCCTGATGGTGTCAGTGTGGCCTGAGAAAATGCAAAGAAACAAAAGAACTTTAAGGAAGAAGTTATAGCCTTCTTCCTACTCCATACAAGGGTCACAGGGCTCAGGGTGTAACTCTGTGTTGCAGCATGTGTGAGGCACCGCACAAATAGTAAGTCATACACGAAATGCAGTTAGCAGGCCAGAATGAAAAATCAATACAGTATGCACACAAGCAGTCTTGGAATCAAGCCATTATCAGAACCTTGAGTTCCGCTATTTCAGTGAAGGAAGACAGTCAAGCTGGTCTTCAGCAGGAAGATAACGGTGCCCAGTATGTGGAGCAGGAACTCACCTGAATGTTGACAAACACGCCGTGGTAAGTCTCATACAGCACCTTGCTGCCCTTGACATGCAGAGGGAACTCAAAGGGAATCTCAGTCTTGCCACTGGGGAGCTTTCCTGGCTTCAGCACGTCTATGGTGCTGTTGAGAATCTGGATCGGCTGTCAACAGAAATCAGCTTCAGCCATCAGCACACTGTGTCTGTCTGTCTCTCCCTGTAGTCATGCTAAACCAGGGAGCCTGAATGCTCCTGAGCTTCCAATGTGCCGGCCGGACACAAACAGTAAGCTGCTTCTGTTTTTAAGTCTGCGCAACAATGGTTCATTTCTTTAAAAATTTTTCCTTACTACACTTAATTTAGTGTGCGTGAGTGAGTGTGTGTGAGGTGCACACACATACCAGTGTGCATGTGGAAGTCAGAGGACAACTCGAGCTCAGTGTGGTCCTTCCACTGTGTGGGTCCTAGTGATCCAATCCAGGTTGTCAGCAGTTGAGCCATCTCAAACACAGGGCACTGCGGTGCTGTACACAGCAGGAGCTGAAGCCAGGTGTGCCTGTGTCCCGCTCACTAAGAACGCCATCTGCAGAATAAGCAGGCAGGCTAGCACTGACGCTGCGGGGCCAGGCTGGGCAGCATGTGGCCCAGGGCTGCTCCCTACCTGGCATCTCTCAGCACTGCTCCAGTTCCCACAGCCTGGGCCTCCCCAGGCCTCAGCACTGCAGCTCCCCACACACAGAGAGGAAAACAGGGTTATCACTCAGGAAGTCGAATTTTTACAACTTCTATTTTATTTCATCTTATTTTAGATAGAGTCTCCCTGTATAACCCTCTGCCTCAGCCTCCGGAGGACTGGACCACAAGCGTGGACTCCACTTCCCACTGGCTGCACGCTTTCAGAGCTTTGGTTTGCTATCACCCCAAGAGAATCCCTAGTGGACCAAAATTAGACAGATGCAAAGGCAGGATACTACTAAACCTAAATAAGCTCATGTTCTTCCTCTAAAAGAGCTCACATGGCCTTCAGGGAAAAAAATCCTAAGTTTGGGGAACTTTCTAGAATATAAACTCTACCGCAAACAACAAAATCATGCAAGTGCTCCCTGCTCTGAGTGCATCTCCCTTTGGTGTGGAGCTCAGCAGGAGCAGTGTACAAGTGTGACCCACGGACACGGACCGCGGGCCACGAGCACTTCTGGAGCTCTGCCCTGGGACAACTCAAGTTAGTGGTTTCCTCTGACCCCAGCACAGCCAGGTCGGGCACGTGCAAGCGTCTGCCGGCAGGACAGAGAAACACACACTGTGTGTGGACCGTGAGCCTTGCAGCGCAACCACAGCACACAGCGTCAGCGCTGCGCTGGCTCTTACCTTCACCGAGTTGTAAAAGGCCTCAAACACGCCCACACTTTTGGCACTGAGCTGGAGGTTTACAGTCCCTTCCATGGTCAGAGACACTCCCTGGTGCTGGACAGAGTCCTTGCTGGAGATGACCACCACACCAGACAGCATTTCCTGGGGACAAGAGACAGCCTCCAGTCAGCACAGCACAGCTCCCTGGACAATCCTGCTAAGAGACTCACACACTCTGTGGAGATGTTCCAACCCTGCCCACCCCGCCTAACAAGTAAACCAACCACGATGAATTTCCCGGGCTGGGTGGGAAATAGAGTGAGGCAGTGGATGAACGGCACTTTCTAGGAGCTCTGAGCCCATCAGAGCTGGAGAGATGTCAGTGCCGTCACCCCTCCCAGTCTGCTAATGTCGGCCTCAGGGCAGCCAGAGAGTTCAGCAGGTAAAGGCACCAAACCTGCTGTCCGGAGAGCACCAAATGCACTAGATGTCTTCTGACCTGCACGCACACGAGTGAAACAGAAGAAACTCGTTCTCCCTGATAATAAGCTGAAGCCTAGAGTAAAGCCTGGGGTTGAGGAGAAACTACAGAGAAAACAGCAAGTATCAGCGGCACTGCTGGAACTGAGGTGATGGAGGAGAGCAAGCAGAGGAGTGGCTTCGCTCTGAATACTAAGTGATCCACCCTGCTGAGAGGTCAGTCAGTAGTCAAGGGCAAAGATGTGACCCTGAGGGACGGGTGTCACAGAGGACTGTTTCGTGTTCAACTGTAGTCACACTGGCCCCCAACCCAACACACGCCCTCCCACTCCTCCATGAACTCCGTCCTCTGAGCTGGCACCAGGACCACCTACAAAGCACTCTGCTGTGCTGCAGTGGAAAGCAAGGGCAGACCATTAGGACCTGACTCCACCCGGGGCATTGATGGGGTGCTGAGTGGGGAGGGCCCAGCAAATGGAAAACAGTAGAAAGAGGGGCTGTGGTGGTGACCGCTGAGTGTCAACCTGATAGGAGACAGCTCTGGGCCGCCTGTGCGGACTATGCAGAGGAGGTTAACTGAGGTGAGGATCCCACCCTAACTACACTAAGAAGAGCAGCTGAGCACTCACATCCTCAGCTTCCTGACTGCAGACGCTGCCTGACCAGCTGCCTTGAGCCCCTTCACCATGGATTCCACAGTGGACTGAGAGCCAAAACCAATCCTTGTCTCCGCGAGCTGCCTCTGCCAGGGCATTTTATCTCAGCAATATGAGAAGAAACTAACACAGGGCCCAACTGCCGAAAGGTCTTGGCTGACTCTACACAGCAGGCGCTGCAGACTGCAGCACTAACAACTGGGCGGAGAACGCAGATTTCAGGCCACACCAGGGCCGAGTGAGCGTGAGCAGCACGGAAGAGAACTCGGAATAGAGCTGAGGCAGGAGGAAGACGGGAAGGACAACCAGTGGCTCAGCAGGGAGAAAGGACAAGCAGCCCTGATCATGCTTAGACCTATCCAGCTGCAGAGCCCAAGTCAAACACCCTGCAGGGACAGGCAGGCGATCCAGTGTCCAGGCCAGCACAGGAGCAGCTGTGACAAGCACAGGATCACAAAGACAAGTTTGCTGCAGCCCAATTGTCAAACGGGCTGGGATAATTCTCAACACATCTCTCATGTACTTCATAAGGACTAGGTTATGAATCAGGAAACGAGCCTTCTCAGGAGTATCAGGTGACAAATGAGGAGAGAGGTCCACTTACAGCTCCTAACTGTGCTTCTTCAAAGGTGCAGTGCCCTCCACAAGACCCTGCAGTCCTCCTAGTTCAGACATCCGTTACACACTTACAGCGCTACAGGTCATGTTAGCAATCTAGCAGGACAGCTCTTAGTCACTGCTGTTATTGTGAAGAGACACCATGGTCAAGGCAGCTTACGAAACCAAGTGTTTAATTGGGAGTTTGCTTACAGCTCCAGGGGTGAATCCAGGACCATCACAGTAGGGAGCATGGCAGGAGGCAGGCAGGTAGGAGCTAAAAGCTTATATCCTGATTCACAAACACCAAACAGAGAGACTGGGCCTAGTGTGGGCTTCAGGAACCTCAAACCCCAGTGCTACTGCCTCCTCCAACAAGGACACAGCTCTTAATCCTTCCCAAACAATTCCACCAGCTACAGACCAAGTATTCAAATGTGAGCCAGCAGGGGCCATTCTCATTCAAACAAGCACAATAACGTAGACTATTATGTGTTCTTTCTTTTTAAAGATTTATTTATCTTGTTTCGTGAGTACAGGTGTTTTATCTGAGTGTATGCCCTTGGAGGTCAGAAGAGGGTGTGGGATCCCCTGGAACTGGGATCCCGAGTTGGTTGTGAACCACCATGTAGATGCTGGGAATCAAACCAGGATCCTCTAAAAAGCAGCCTGTGCTTCCATTTTTAAATAGGACTTCCATTCTGCAACTTCTCCTTCTAGATAACTGGCTGTCATGCATAAGATTTCTACTCTAGTTTAAAGACGTTACGTCCATGCCCACGCCACCTAAGACAAATGGACATGGAGTTCTGGGGTCTTCTGGAGGGTGGGTAGGTAACAATACCCACCCCATGGCACAGACATCCCTTGTCATACCTCACAAGTATAGTATTCAATGGTATTACTTTCATGAGCACATGTATCAGATTTAAGAATAAGGCATTCTGAATTCATAAAAACAAATGAATTCTATTTACATTACAGGAAGATTTACTGCAGGCTCCTCCAGTGCCCTGAAGGCATAACATAACTCACAATGTCATGCACATGTCTGTTTCAAGTACCTGTTACCACACAAAGGCACAAGCGTCACCACCTTGGGGCTACACAATGCTAGACTCTGCACAGCCTGCTTGCATGTGACCTTAGCCCTCCCTCAGTCCACGGTGGGCAAGGTCTGACAACAGTGCAGTGCTTGGCAACACTGGGGGTGCCACTGGTGGAGTACAGCTCTGAGGGTGAGCGAACCATCTTAGTGTCTGAGTCTACTGTGGGCCACATTCATGGTTAGCCTGGAAGTATCACCTCTCAGTTTGAGTAGATGCCATTTCCATCTTACAGATGAGAACTGAGACTCAAAGTCCTGGACTTAGAGATAAGAAGGTGGACTCTTGACTGCAATCCCAACACTCCAGATGCTACTACAGGGGACTGCTGCAAGTTCAAAGGCGGCCTCAGCTGCAGTGACAGACAGACAGACAAAGAAAGAGAGAAGTACCTGTCACCAAGCACTACTGAATTTGATCCCCAGGACAGAAAAGAATGGACTCAGTGTCTGTCTGTGTGTGTTATGTACATACTAACATACACATATAAATAAGTAACGTTAAAGAAAAACAGGGAAAAAAGCAAATCAGATGTTCTCTCATCTCTGTTGACACGTCACAGACCCTCCAGCAGAGCATCTCATGGCTGCAAAGGACAGAGCGCTCTGCCGTGAGCAGGTGACACAAGCACATGCTAAACGGAACATACTACATACTCACACAGGAAAGTAAGATGTTCTCCAACTATGGAACTAGACGTCAGGTTTCCACCTGATGGGAAGACTTTTAGGGAGAAGGTGGGTGCCCTGGGAACAAGCTGCAGAGGCCATATGTCTTGGTATGAAGACCCCAATATTTTCTGTTCAAAGCCAGCCTGGTCCACAGAGACACTACCAGGGCAGCCAGGGTTACCCAGAGAAACCCTCTCTCGAAAATCAAAACAAGCATATAAATAAATAGAAAAATAAAGGGCTGGTTTTTGCTGTATCCAAATTATATCTCTAATGTGTATGTATCTAAATGTAAAGTTTATCTCTACAAAATATTAACTGGGGAAAGTAGAGCCACATAACTTTCAACTGGATTCAGAAGTCTCAGGATTTTGCTACATTTCATTTTGTTCCGTACACACAGGCAGGTCCACATGCACAGCCACACTTTATGGCTACACCTTCTGAAGTTACCATGGCAAAGTTCAGCACATGTGTTTGTGAGTGCGGGTGCAAGTGAAGGCCAGAGGTGTCAGATTCCCTGGGGTGGGAGTTCCAGGTGGTTTTGAGTGGCCTGACTTGGGTGTTGGAAACCAGCGTGGATCCCCTCCAAGAGAAAATACCTGCTCTTAATGGCTGACCCTTCTCTCCGGCCCCTTATCGTCTCTGAGACAGGACCTTATGGATCCCAGGCTGTATGAAACTCAGTATGCAGCTGAGGGTGACCACGAGCTTGTGATCCTTCTACCTCTAACTCCTGAGTGGTAAGGGTGCAGGCACCCACCACCACGGCTGGCTTTATGCAGCGCCAGGGACTGAATCCTGGGCTTTGTATATCCTGGCACCTAGGTGGTGGCACAGGCCTTTAATCCCAGCCCTCAGAAAGCAAAGGCAGGCGGTTCTCTGTGAGTTCAGGACCAGCATGGTCTACAGAGTGAGTTCCAGGACAGCTAGGGCTGTTACAGAGAAACTCTGCCTTGAAAACCAAAACCAAAACAAAACGCCAAAAACAAAACAAAAGAATATGGCGATGGGTTGACAGTTTCCCTCAACTGAGGCAGGACAGACTGTTTCCCTGTTTCCTTCATATTCTGATTAAGTATTTCGGCAGTGATCTAACATTTTGCCATAGAGTCTAGAGTCCCTTTATACGGGATGATGGTACCTTGGTGGTGTTTGGGTTTTGGGGAGAAGGGGAATCTTTGAATCTGGCTTTGTGTGGTGAGGGTGGAAGTGGTGTGGGTCACTGGAATCTTTATAACTGTCAGGTCTCCGGTTTTCAGCATCCATTCAAGATGCTCACCGGGATGTCTTCCTTTTCGGCAGCACACCGCATTTGTATGGCCAAACACTGCACACAACTGTATGCAGACGCTAGCGGTGTTTCAATCGCTGGTGTCTCCAGGGGGTAGAATCAGGGCGATCGCGTTCTAAAACCACAGAAGTGGGACTGACCAGGGCCTGAAGCACACCTTCTGCAGCCCCGTAAGGAGCGACAGCTCGGGGCTGGACCCCGCCCGCCCGCCCGCCCGCGGACGCCCCCAGCCCGTCACAGCGCAGGACCGCAGGGCGCCCCTCCACTCACCCCGGCGTGATACACTTTATTCGCTCTCTTGATCTTGATGTCCAGGGAGGTCCCCATCTCCGGTGATCTGCAGAGGCCGCCACTTCCGGCCACTCGTGACCGGGCCGCCACGCCCACTACCCCGCCCCTCTCCCGCTGCTTCCGCAGTGGTGCCACGTGACCACCGCCGGCTCCGCTCCTCACACCTCCCTCTTTCCGGCACTGGGGCGGGACTTAGCGCGAACAGGGGCAAGAAGCCACACACACTTCCGGGAAGGCCGCACGGAGATCCCAGCGTGCCCCGCGGCGGGGGCGAGGCAAGGCCGCTTGGCGGCGCTTTCCCGTCGGGCTACGCGCGGAGGGCTGCGCGGTGGAGGTGGGTTTCCGGAAGCGACAGCGGACTGTGTCCCCTGTCGTCGGCTTCCTCCGTCCCTGCTGCTCGCTCACGTCTCCCGGGAGGGACCGTCCGTGCCAGTCGCAGGAGCGTGGCCCCGCACTAGCGGTCCGCCGTTCGCTGATTGGGGGAGCGCCCCGGTTACGCCCCTGCAGGCCACGCCCCCGGCGCCGGGCCAAGGTCTTGGGAAACGCCGGGTGACCTCGCTCTGCCGCGGGGGCTTCTGGGTGCTTCCCAGGCTCGGTCTCGGAAGTGGCGTCCGGCGCCTGCGCGAGCGGGAAGACCGCGTTCCCTACCGACACGCACCTGCGCGCTTGCCGTGGTTCAGCAGTTGCCGCAGTGGACGCCGGAAGTGCAAGGGGACGTTTCCGCCAGCCGCCTCGTTCCTGAATCACGACTTCTGTAAATATGTAGCCAGGGCTCTCGCAGAAGGCAGGAGGGCAGATCTTAGTGATTTGCTACCCAAAGTGATGTGATGCAAAGATGATGTTTAAATTCCTTGATGCTGGTTTTCTTCAGTACTGATCGCTTTTAAGATGGCAGATTTAGGTTTCGTGCATGCCAGGAGCCTTGCTCTTGAGGCGTTCCGTGGGCCGAAAGTGCCGTGCGGCGGCCGCAGTCGCATTTGAAGGTTAAAATGAGATGCGCCTGAATATTAAGAGATCCGCTTTCACCTCCCGTCTGCTCTCAGGACTTTCCCGTGTGTCTTAAAGCCTGGCCTAGCGGTTCGGAACCTACAATCACAGTCTAGACTATTGCACAACAAGAAGTGGATCCTGCTCTCCCAGACTCAACCAGCATTTTCTGTTTTTTGGGGGAAAAATCTCAGTGCAGGGAAAGGAAAAGAAAAGCGGTCCTTTCCATGAGTCTGTGTCCTAGGCTTGTTTGTTACAGCAGACAGGCCCGGTTCTTAGACAGTCTTGTTCCTCCAGGGCAGGTGTGCCAGACTTCCTCCTTGAAAGTTGCACTCATGGTTAAGAAAGGCTGTAAAGACAGCTCCTTCCAAGAATTACCAGTGTTTATCTATTGAGTTGTCCTCTGCAGTGGCTTCCAAACGAGAATCAGAAGTTTACTTTGCCCGAACACCGACTTTTTTTGTTTTTGTTTTTTTGAGACAGGGTTTCTCTGATTTTTTTTTTCTTTCATTTTTAGTTTTTAGAGACCGGGTTTCTCTGTAGCTTTGGAGCCTGTTCTGGAACTAACTTTTGTAGACCAGGCTGGCTCAGACTCACAAGAGATCCACCACCGCCCGGCCGAACACTGATCTTTTTAAGCGTTCTTTGTATCTCCTAATCTCACTTAAGGTAAAGTCGCCTTCGGCCAGTTTCAGCTCCTAAATATCAAGACTGCGTCAGAGTGACAATGTTGTGACTCAGATGGGACCCTAGGTCTTTTGCTGGAATAATAAAATGGAAGTTGTGATTCTGGCGTGGAAACGAGGCAAGCACCCTAACCGACCACAGCTGGGATCCTCTGAGTTGATGGGGCCTGGAGACCTTCATACATAATAGATAGGAAGGCAGGTAGGGCCTTCTCCCCAGACAGCTTCAGGAGAGGATCTGTCTCCAGCTTGGCTTTTCTATCCCTGCACTGCCATTGTCCAGCAGTACACCCGGCGGATTGCTGTTTCTGAAAGATGGTTCAAGACCATTTATCTTCCCTGGCGTCTCTTGAGCTCAGTGAGTAAGGGCCACCATACTTGGTGACAGCCAGGGTTCCATTCCTGGTACAAGGAGAGAGCTAACGCCCACAAGTTGTCCCTTGACCTCCACGTGTGCACACGCTCTCTAAATGAAAGCTTATTTTTAAGTGGTACCGTCCTCGCCACACAGCAGACTGTCCTGTGACATTTCCGTGCCATCCCTATCTGATCATCTTGTCTCCCTTGACACACGAGAATAGGTAGCATGGTGGTGAAATAGGCTCTCCTGCCAACTGGCACCGCTGCTGCCTCGGGAAGAGAATCCCCCTCTCTGGGTCACCTCCCAGCACTAGATCACAAGGCTGCAGCCTCCTCACGCTCACTTCTGGGTCTTCCTGTACAGACCAGGGAGAGGGAAGACACAGGAAAAAAGTGGTTGAAGCAGAATTAGATGAACATCTTTTTATTAAATTCTAGAAGATAATTTCAACTATAGGCATCTTACAGGGACAGTATAAGTTCCTTTTAAGATTTTTTATTTTCGTTATGGTGTTTTGCCTACATGCGTATCTATGCACCTGCGTGCCTGGTGCTCACGGAGGCCAGAAGAGGGCATCAGATCTGGAATAGAGTTGCAGATGGTTGTGAGGCACCGTGTGGTTCTGGGAATCTCACCTGGGCCCTGTGCAGGAGCAGCAGTGCTCTAACCTGCTGAGCCGGTCTCCAGCCCTTACTTCCTGTTGTCACTGTTGTGGTGAAATGCATGACAAGCACTACTCAAGGAAGGGGGGTGATGGTGATCAGAGTTGGAGGGTAGCGGTCCACAGTGCCAGCCAGGGTAACAGACTGTTCTAGAGACCGGCCAGGCTGACCATATTAACCATCACAACAGTCCCACTGGGCGTTTTTAACTAGGTTCTCTCCTTTGGGTCCTCTGTAAGGACCGAAGGACAGGCTTCCTGAGCTGCTGGTAATTTAGTCTCAACAGCTCTTAACTATACCGCTCTTCATAGCTGAACTGAATTTTCCCCAAGGTCTTGCTTCCTTTTCAAAGGCAACCTATGTGTGATGACTGACGGACTTAGAATGTGAAGATGTTCCTTCTTCTTCATCAGGACAACCCTGAAGGGTTGTTCAGGCCCAGAGCTCCCTCTCCTATCAGGTGCGGCGTAACAACTTACTCAGTAGTGTGAATCCACAGTCATATGCTGAAATACGTGCAGCCAAGTACAAATGGGTGACGCTGGCCCAAGGGCTCTGAGGAAGGAAAATTTCCTGGGGTTCGTAAGGGTCTGCCAGCCACCCCTCCCGGCTCCGGAGATGACAGAGGCCATGGCTGATCACTCTGCTTCCTTTGTGCTCCCTGTGTCTGCCAGTCGCATATGAGAGCAAGCAGGGGTGCAGTATCCTAGTCGGGTGTTCTCACGCGAGAGAGGTGGGACCTCCATCAGACTACAAACACTGCACTGTAGCATAGCGTGCTAATTTCTAGGGCTTCCCTGACAAACTGCACAACTTAAACAACCGAAATACATTCTGTCATATTTATGCAGGCTACAAACTAGAAAAGTTGTCAACAGGGCTAGTTGTCTCTGAGGACTGTTTGTACCAGGCCTTGCCCTTTGGCTGTCTTCCTGCGAGTCTACATGTTTGTTTGTTTGTTTAAATGCATCTTGGTAATCACATGCATCCATCCTGCATATGTCTCGCTACACTTGTCCTCTTTGGAAATACCCTAACCCTTCCTTCTAAGGCCTACACTAACAACCTATTTTTAACTAATGATCTCTATGAAGACCTTATTTTCAAATACAATTAACATTCTGAAGTCTAAGATTCAAGTCCCTAAAATTTGTAGCGATATCCAGGTGGTGGTGGTGGTGCATGCCTTTGATCCCAGCACTCAGAAGGCAGCAGCAGACAGGTTTTTGTGAGTTAGAGGCAGAAAGAGTTCCAGGACAGGCTCCAAGGCTACACAGTCTTGAAAAACAAAAATATATGTAGCAATAAAATATATGTAACAAAAATATAAAGGTAAATGGACTGAGACAGTTGGTAGATTTTAACACTACCCAGTTTTCCATATTGGATTAAACGCCAAGGCGTTGAAAGCTCTAATGAATAGAGTAAGAAGTGCAGCAACCGCACAATACAGCCAAGCCTACTCGGAAAGACAGAAAGAAAAGTGAAAAGTAAACATGAAAAATAAACATGAACAGCCCTGACCTCCAGCTTCAGCATTTGCACAAACACAAAGATGTCGATCCTTGTTGAAGATGGGGTGGGGACTTTCGGACACACTCTCAGGGGAGAGAAGGTAAGTCACCACGTCAGGGAACATTTTTAAATGTAAGCCTTAGCATTCTTTGTAGTTTCTTCCCAACTCTCAGACAGACTGTGTGATAAGCCCTCCAAATATCTAGAGGACGGATATGGAAGGAGGAGAGAGAAGCCCTGGGGTTACATCTGACCCCTGGGGATGGAGAGCAGCAGGGCTACAGAAACCGTGACTGGATCTCTGAGCAGAAAGGACCCAACATCAAAAGAATCAGAAGGGTGAACTGTGGGCTGACTCAGCTAATGTGGGGTTCAGGCCGGAACAAGCCATTCTTGTAGCCTGCCATGGCCCACGCAGTGCTCAGCTAGGCAGTGCTCAGATGCCCAACAAGCATGAGTTTATTCCAGGTGCATAAGTCAGAAGGTAAGGAGACGGTGTGTGAAGGCAGACTTCTAAAACACCAACAGCTGAGTTCCAGCTCGTTGCAAGAATGATTTTTCCCTTAGCAGAAATGGTTACTGGAATGCCAAACTGTGTTAATTTATAGAGAATGACTGCTTTGTTTCTTTTTTTTTTTTCAACATTTCTGTGTTGTGCTTGTAAATTTTGAAATAGCTACATATTCAAAAATCAATAGGCCTTTCTAGTTACAGCAATAAGCAGTCAGGAAATGAAGGGAAGATAGGAGTACATTCTCAATAGCAATAAAAACATAAAATATTTGCAGTAATTGGAATGTGATATATGCTAGGACCATATGAATAAGGCCACGATGCTGAGTTAAACCATATCACATGGAGAGATGTCCAGTGTTTCTGAATAAAAAGTCTTAAGCATTGTTAAATGTCCA